AGTTGATGAGAACATTTAGAGGTGAGAATAAAGGGGAACTGTTCTAAAAACAAATGTTGAAATCTAAAGTGCAGAATGAGATGCTGAGGATGGTTGGGGTAATAAAAGTAGAGGGTGGCATGGAGATGCGAATCAGGGAAATGATGGATGACCGGGAGCTACTGGTTGTGATTGAGTGAAAAGGATTATAGTGATGAAATTATCTTCCTGTAAGCTCTAGAGGGGGAGGGAAGGTGGGTAAATTGGTTAAGATGAATAATATAGAGCTACACAACACAAACTGTTCTCTCTTGCAAGTCTTGTGGTATGGAGGCTACTGGGTAAAATTGCTCCTATTTCATTTAGAATTTTTGCATTTGTAGTTATAAAATATGATCTAAAGATTACCTTCTAGTGTTACAATTGTTAGGTTCTGATAACAGGATTAGGATCATATTTCAAAAATAAGCTGGGATTTTTTCCAAGTATTTTTACACTCGAACTACCTGGTCTAGTTCATTTTGGTGTAGGAGATATCCTTGAGAACATTTTTATTTATTTTTTAGAAATATATTGTTATTGATTTCAGAGAGGAAGGGAGAGGGAGAGATAGGAACATTTATGATGAAAGAGAATCATTAATGGGCTGCCTCCTGCATGCGCCCTGACCAGGGCCTGGGTGGAGAGGAGCCTGCAACCGAGGTACATGCCCTTGACCAGACTCAAACCTGGGACCCTCTGGTCAGCAGGCCAATGCTCTATTCCAGTGGTTCTCAACCTGTGGGTCTCGACCCCTTTGGCGGTCGAACGAACCTTTCACAGGGGTCGCCTAAGACCATCCTGCATATCAGATATTTACATTACAATTCATAACAGTAGCAACATTACAGTTATGAAATAGCAACGAAAATAATTTTATGGTTGGGTCACAACATGAGGAACTGTATTTAAAGGGCCAGAAGGTTGAGAACCACTGCTATTCACTGAAAATAACCGGCTAAAGCTAAATGTGTTTTTATTGATTTTTTAGAGAGAGAGGAAGGGAGAGAGAGGATAGACACCCTATATGATGGTAGAAATATCCTGAGTTTTCTAACCAGGACACAAACAGGATTGCCTCCCTCTAGTCCCAGTTACAGACACACCACCCAAATCAAGTTTAAGGAAAACACTTTAAAAAAAGGAACAGTTGATTTTTAGAGGGGGGCAGGGGGAGAGAAACGTAGATATAAAAGCGCAACATCCATGGGCTGCCTCCTGCACGCCCCCACCGGGGCAGCAACCCGGGCACAAACCTTTGACCAGAATGGAACCCGCAACCTCCTGGCGCCCCGGAGACGCCTAACCTACTGAGTCACACCGGCCCGGGCAAGAATGACACACGTTTCCCAGCCTGTTCGCAAACGATCTAACCAAGTGGGGTTTCCCGCCATTTCACTTCAAGGACTGGAAGGGCTTTCCCCCTAGATTCGTGGGAGACCCGAGCCTACACGGCTTTCCCCCGCCAGGCGAGCGGCGGGACGCCAAGGTCAGTAGGGTGCACTACGATCCCGGGGACAGGGCAACAAGGTGACGATCTCACTGCCCAAGTGCCGGGCTTTCGCGGGTAAGTTGGGAAGGCGGAGGCGCCCACTGCAAAGGGAAAACGAAGCGCCTAGTGCGCAACCCCGCGCCCGCGCTGGGAATGGGGACCGCGGCCGTTGAGGGGCGGAGCCAGGGCTGGGGGCGGAGGCCGGGTTCGCTCCAACTCGAGCCCGGATTGGCCGGGCCCTGAGAGCCGAGTGACGACAGCCGGGGAGAACGTCCGATTTGTGTGGTGGGCGCGGGCGGGCGGAGGAGGCGCACTGCGCAGGCGCAGCGCCTCGGCTCCGGTCGGCCCAGCGCTCGCGGACAAGTCCCGACAGCGCGCGCCCCCGCTCCCGCGCCGGGACCGCCCCCTCCCCCTTTCGGCGGCGTCGAAGGTAAACAATAGTTGGCCGCTGACCGCGGAGTGCTTCTCCCGCCGCCGGATTCGGCGGGCTGCGCGGGATCGGCGGGACCCCGGCCGGCCGGCCATGGCGGGGCTGTACTCGCTGGGAGTGAGCGTCTTCTCCGACCAGGGCGGGAGGAAGTACATGGAGGACGTTACTCAGATCGTGGTGGAGCCCGAGCCGACCGCTGAAGAAAAGCGCTCGCCTCGGCGGTCGCTCTCGCAGCCGTCACCGCCGGCTCTTCCGGGCGGCGAGGTCTCGGGGAAAGGCCCAGCGGTGGGGGCCCGAGAGGCTGGCGACCCTGCCCCGGACGCGGGGGCCTCGCCGGCTCCCGGCCGCTGCTGCCGCCGCCGCTCCTCGGTGGCGTTTTTTGCCGTGTGCGATGGGCACGGCGGGCGGGAGGCGGCACAGTTTGCCCGGGAGCACTTATGGGGTTTCATCAAGAAGCAGAAGGGGTTCACCTCGTCCGAGCCCGCGAAGGTTTGCGCTGCCATCCGCAAGGGCTTCCTCGCCTGTCACCTCGCCATGTGGAAGAAACTGGGTAAGTTCCCTGCCTGGTGTGGGCGCCCGCCTCTTCTGCAGGCGGTTGGGGGCTTTTAGGGCCCCGGCCCCGCGCGGGCCCCGGGCAAAGTGCACATGGGTGGACATGAAGGCTCTTGGTCTGATAGCGCTTTCCGGGGTGGAAGTCCGGGCAAACAGAGTGGCCTTGGGAAGGGATTGCCGTCTCCCCGCAACCGCTCCTCGCCCGGTTTCCACCCTCTGCGGATCCTTGGCAAGCCGGGGTCCCCTCTCCCTCCTCGGCTTCGCTTTAGGTGGCAGCCGGCGAAAACGTGTTGGAAACCTGACGCCAGATTTTGGCCAAAAGATCAACTGAAGATCGGTTGCTCTCTGGGCCAGGCGATGGGAGCGGGAGATGGCAAAAACTAGGGCACCCCTTTCGAGTCTGTCATTACTTTGCTCCTGAAGGACTTGTCCCTATCGGTTGCCGCCTCTCATGGTGTCAGTTCTCCGGATTGACCCCAGGTCGCGGGTGGTTGGAGTAAACTGTTGGCTATTTTAGGAAGGCGAAGATGTAATCATCCAGTCGCTCGAAAGGAATTCGGTTTTGCTTGTAGGATCTTTATGCGTGGACTGCTTATGAAAAAACAAAAGCGCGGGGTGCATTGTTACATATTAAACTGTTCCCACGTTAAATTCTGCCAGGGCTTTGAAAAAGTTCAGTACACGTTTTGTGGGTAGTTGGCCTTACCGGTGCTAGTTGTATGCTGCCAGGTAGTTCTCCACGGTTCCGACTGAAAAGTCCTGATAAGTTGTAATAGCCTGTCAGAGTAGCAAGAGATAAGGAGGATTTACCGTTGTGCTAAAAGGAAATAGAGACCTTAATATCTAAAAATTCGATCTAGTTGTAGTTTTAACTAAGCGTTAAATGTTTTCTAAAGCAGCCAGTGTCTCTGTACCCAGCATATTATATCATGCAGTTATAGTTGCTTTAACATTGCTGTGAATGAATGGCGTGAATCTTTTTTAGAGACAATACGTCATTTTAAAAATCCTCTTGTTTTTGGTAGCATAATTTATCTTTAGCAGAGGGCAGAGACATAGAGAAGAGTGTAAAGATTGGTCAAATACAGAACATTTTAAAAAGGTATAGTCATAGAATTGTAGATTAGCTTCTTTGAGTCTGTTTCCTATTTACCTGGCTTTCTGCCAAGAATAATTTGATTGACTCATAGAACAACCAGTCCGCCTGTTGGAGGCGTTTCCCTTCGAATCCCAGAGGCCCCTATTATGGATTTGTTTTGTTTTTGTGTAGGCAGAGCAGTGCTAAAAGCACTGCAGTATATTCCAGAAATATGTCATTATGTTGTCTGCAGTGCTACCAGGAGTGGACAGCAAGACAAGATAGCGGAAGATTAAACACAAAGAATTATTTGAGTCCTGTTTATATAGCAGTACACTTGAAGCAACATGAATTTGCCATATGTTTGAACTGAAAGGATAAAGTATAAACCCAGTTACTTGAACATTTTTTAATAAATCAGGGACCATGCTGTTGAATGTGAATGTTTATTGATGTACATTTACCTTTTGAATCAAGCTTTCAGAGCCTTATGTACCAGATAAATGCTTGCTTCATGCCACAGCTAAACCTTGTACTCCACCCCCAAAACTTGAATAAAAAAAGAATATGCTGAGTATTATGGAAGTTTTCACACAGGAGATGCAGGTTGGAAAAAAAAAAGTGCTTCAAATTCATGGGTGGGACCTCATTTTCTATAGAATAAACTACATTTTATAATGTACAGGCCAAGCCCTTTCCAATCCAACTTCAGGCTCCCTCCCTATTCAGTTTTATCTCTTATACACATTTTTATCACAGTCTACTTCTCTTTTATCACAGGGTACAGTGATATATTCCATTTTATTGAATTCCCTCCCTCTTCCCCAAAAAACTGAAAAATATACTCTTCAGTCTCTAAGTCAGTATGCTTTCTTCTGTGAAGAGTTCTGTTTCTTTTAAAATTAAACATCCATCCTTTATTTCTACTATTATAATACCCATTGGGCTATAGCAGTGGTTCTCATATACCTTACAAAGTGGTCCCCCCTTCCAACCTGGCACTATACCTAGTTATTACAGTACTAGAGGGCTGGTGCATGAAATCCGTGCATGGGTAGGGTCCCTAGGCCTGGCTGGCGATCAGGGCCCATCGGGGCCTCTGGCTGCCAGCTGGGGCTTCCCTTCGTTCCGCGCTGCCCCCTGGTGATCAGTGCGTGTCATAGCGAGTGATTGAACTCCTGGTCTCCCAATTGAACTCCCGCGGGGACACTTTGCAGATTAGATTTTTATATAGATAGATTATTGACTATATTCCCTATGCTGAACTTTACAGTCCCATGACTATTTTGTAATATCAATTTGTACTTCTGAATTCCTTCACCTTTTTCACCCAGCCTCCCAACTCCCCTCCCCTCTGGCAACCATCATTCTGTTCTCTGTGTCTGACTCTGTTTCAGTTTTGTTTGTTTATTTAATTTGTTATTTGTCTTTCTCTGACTGACTTATTTCACTGAACATAATACATTCTAGGTTCATCCATGCTGTAGCAAACTTTTGCTCTGAGAATCCTTTGTACTCTTAAGTAATTGAGAATCCCAGAGAGCTTTTATGTGGCCTACATTGATCATATTTACTACAGTATATGAGAAATTTAAATTGAGAAATTAAAAAAATTATTACTCTAGTAAAAAAATAAACTTAATATATTTTTAAGTGAATCATCACCCTTCCCCCCAAATAAATATTGAAATAAATATTCTCATATCTGCTTCTGCATTCAGTCTGTTGTACTATCTTGTCTAGTTGAAGTATATAAAGAAAAGGAAGCCTTCCCTAGCTGGTTTGGCTCAGTGGATAGAGCATCGGCCTGCGGACTGAAGGGTCCCAGATTCCAGTCAAGGGCACGTGCCTGGGCTGCGGGCTTGATCCCCAGTAGGGTGTGTGCAGGAGGCAGTTGATCAATGATTCTCTCATTATGTTTCTCTTTCCCTCTCTCTTCCTCTCTGAAATATATATTTAAAAAAATATATTTTTTTAAAAAAGAAAAAGGAGGCCGAAACCGGTTTGGCTCAGTGGATAGAGCGTCGGCCTGCGGACTGAAAGGTCCCAGGTTCGATTCCGGTCAAGGGCATGTACCTGGGTTGCGGGCACATCCCCAGTAGGAGATGTGCAGGAGGCAGCTGATCGATGTTTCTAACTCTCTATCTCTCTCCCTTCCTCTCTGTAAAAAATCAATAAAATATATTTAAAAAAAAAAAGAAAAGAAAAAGCTTTAAAAAAAATAAAAAAAAAATAAAAAAGAAAAAGGAAGCCTCATCCTATATAATAAAGCGGTAATATGCAAATTGACCATCACTCCAACACACAAGATGGCCACCCCCATGTGGTCAAAGATGGCCGCCCCCATGTGGACACAAGATGGCTGCCACAAGATGGCTGCCAGGGGAGGGCAGTTGGGAGGGACCAGTCCTGAAAGGGAGGGCAGTTGGGGTTACGAGGGCAGTTTGGGGGAACCAGGCCTTCAGAGGAGGGAAGTTGGGGGGGACCCAGGCCTGCAGGGGAGAGAAGTTGGGGGGAACCAGGCCTGCAGCATAGGGAAATTGGGGGGAACCAGGCCTGCAGGGGAGGGCAGTTGGGGGGGGGGCAGGCTGGCAGGGGAGAGCAATTAGGGCCAACCAGGCCTGCAGGGGAGAGCAGTTAGGGGTGACCGGGCTGGTAGGGGAGGGCAATTATGCAGATCTTCTAAATGTGCATTTTATACAATAGCAAAATGTCATATGTGGTAATATTAGGCCTGCAGGGGAGGGCAGTTGGGGGCGACCAGGCCTGCAGGGGAGGGCAGTTAGGGGTGACCAGGCCTGCAGGGAAGGATAGTTAGGGGTGACCAGGTCTTCAAGGGAGGACAGTTAGGGGTGACCAGGCTGGCAGGGGAGGGCAGTTAGGGACAATCGGGCCAGCAGGGGAGCAGTTAGGCATCAATCAGGCTGGCAGGGTAGTGGTTAGGGGTGAGCAGGCTGGCTGGCAGGCAAGCGGTTGGGAGCCAGCAGTCCTGGATTGTGAGAGAGATGTCCGACTGCCCGTTGGGATCGGGCCTAAACGGGCAGTCGGACATCCCTCCAGGGGTCCCATATTGGAAAGAGTGCAGACTGGCCTAAGGGACGCCCCCCCCCCCCCAAATTTCGTATACAGGGCCTCTAGTACACATATATATTAGGGAAAGGATAAATAGTTTATTCATTTTTTTAGATAATTATGGGTATTCTATACTTGTTTCTTAAGGTTAGTCAAAATGGACTCTGAAACCTTATGAATGAACTTTTTGTCATTTTACATTAAAATCCATTGTTTTCTCTTATAAGATTCAAAATGAAATTTACCTGTGTGACATTAGTCAATTGGAAAATATTGGGTCTCTGAATTATGCAGATCTTCTAAATATTCGTGCATTTTATACAATAGCAAAATGTCATATTGGGTAATATTGCTGGCTTCATCAGAAAAGTTTTTTTTCTTTTATTTTTCAGTTACAGTTGACATTCAATATTATTTTGTATTACTTTCAGGTGTACAGCATAGTGGTTAGACAATCATGTGCTTTACAAAATGGCCCCCTCCTTGCAACCTGGCACCATACCTAGTTATTACAGTACTAGAGGCCCGGTGCACAAAAATTTGTGCACTCGGGGGGGGGGTCCCTCAGCCTGGCTTGTGCCCTCTCGCAGTCTGGGACCCCTCGGGGGATGGCCACCTGCTGGCTTAGGGCCCTCCCTCCCCCCGCCAAGGGGATTGGGCCTAAGCTGGCAGTCAGACATCCCTCTGGCAGCCCGGGAGCCCTCGGGGGATGTCCACTTGCCAGCGGGGAGCAGACCTAAGCTGCAGTCAGACATCCTTAGCACTGCTGAGGAGGCAGGAGAGGCTCCCACCACCACCGCTGTACTGGCAGCCGTCAGCCTGGCTTGTGGCTGAGCAGAGCTCTCCCT